GTGGAAAATTTCGGGAAAGAAAGAAAAACCGTTAGGGAATGATTGATCGAAATGAGGTGGCCGATTCGAGAGGAATTCGATGAAAGCTAAACAGCCACCCATTACCCATCTTCTCTAAATTCTTATAAATTTCCCATTCGAGACGGCGAATCCGATTTCCTTCACCGGCATCTCTCAAAAAACGTTTCCGATATCCCTCCCTCAACTTCGATTCTCTGACTTAATCCGACACTCTCGAGGGGGCCATCGTTTTACAGTCACGTATGCGCAACCGTAAAGAGACACTCTTTGGGAGGAGGGTTTGATAAAGGAAAACAAAGAGAAACGGTGGCTAGAGGAAACGGATGCCGGATTGAATCTCATAAAATATTTATCCGTGGAGAAAGGTGATATAGTTTCCTGCCCGACTTTCCGTCGATCGAATCCCTCCTCCTCCCCCCTCTCCCCCTCTATCGCGTTCTTATCTCCTTGCCTCCTTTTGTTCGGCTCGCCGCTCCTTTTTTCCGGACACGTACGATCCGTGGAGTCGGGTACGTGAACCCCGTGTTTATAAAGGGAAGCTAGGCGCTACGGGGTCTACGTGCGTTCCATGATTTCTCAACTGTTCACGTACGACAGAAGCGCCACATATCGAAACGTGGTAAAACGTCGAGTCGCATGGCATGAATGTGAGACGGATTCGTATCATGGTTTATGACACAGGAGAGTGTAACGACGTATCGGTTTTTCAGGGATGGCTCACGGCACGCGATAGTTCTCACGGGAAGTGTTCGCGTGCAACTTTTCGTACACTTTCGAAGGATGATTTATTTTATTCCAGGCTTTGGGGAGTTTGTCGAGGAGAGTGTTTATGGATGTTTATAGAGAGGGAAGGGAATTTCTTATATTAGGTTGTTGTATACGAAATGAGTTAAATCTTGAAATATCTTCGATGGTAAATAATAATTTTGGAAAAAAATTGTGAAATAAATTTATAAGATTCGTTACTTCTTGTTGTCTATCTAAGAATATTTATTCAACGAATGGATGTAAGTTTGTTGATTTTAAATATTTCATTTTACGTTGTTAAAATTGTTATAAAAGGGAAGCTTCGAAAAGAGAACGTTGTTTTTCGGAGAGAAGGATTTATTTTCTTTAAAGTTTTTATAACAGAGAATATTTATTGGCGGTAATAGCAAACGGAGGCAAGTTTGGTTTTGCAATTTTAATTTTTCGTCGGATGCTTTCACGTTGTATGGTACATGAGATAGTTGGACGAAGTGGTGTTGTTTTTTTCTCGAAAATGATTAACTTTCTTCGAAGTTTTATGCCAGTCATTTTAAGCTTTTTGATCCATAATAAATGGAAGTAAGTTCGTTAATTTTATATTAAATCCTTGTTTTTCGTCAAGATGGTTCTTTTTTTCACTTCAAGTTTATTTTACTTGTTCACGATGCTAATAAATGAAGGTAAGCTTGTTAATTTTCCCAACTTTTGTTTTTTCTACGTATATTTTCACGTTTCGTGGCACGACGTACGAGAGAGATGACGTACTGCTCTTATTTTTAATAGAATAATTTAACCTTAAGTTAACCGAGTTCGGTGTTCCATGAGTTTTTTCTTTTTTTTTTTTTTTTTTTTTTTTTTNTTTTTTTTTTTTTTTTTTTTTTTTGTTAAATTCTTTCAAAACGATACAAGAAGAAGTTAAAAACCACGGGAGCACGGGTTACACCAGCTTTGTAAAAGTTGTTTAATGCAACAGAGAGAAGTGATAAAAAGAAATTTTGAATCTCTTTGTGAAAGTTTTTACTGTTAACGCCCCTGCATTAAACTTCCGTTTAGTTTCTTAACAACGACGAAACAGTGTCATTATCCGCATCCATGTACCACGATTCTCTTTCTTTAAGAATTTAGGTTTGCATTTATTAAAGGGCAAGTTTCGAGAGAAAAAAAAAATAGAAAGAGCGAAATATTCATTAACTCTACGAGATGCCAAAAGAAAAAATCTTCAACTCATCGTCAACACTCTCTGAATTTCTCTAACACACTTTTTTTTTAATTTAAACGAAATTAATTAAAGTTGAAAGTTTTGCTGTTGTACATTTATTCGACTTAATAAGCTGTAATTACAAATTTTTAATTCTATAAAGAAGTAGAAAAATAAAAAAAAACAAATATGAATCGAATTAAATAAAAACTACTATAACTTCTATCGATAACCTCTCAAGCAAGAAACTTCCGTTAAAAAGGAAGATTTTATAGAAATTTCTAAAAGAATATCATCACCAATATTCAATTTTCTTTCGCAATTCTTTTTTATTGATCGATCCAATACGTAAGATGGAATAAAATTCAAATTATAAAAAGCATTTTTGGAAGATCACGAATAACAACAGGCACCATTATATATTATCTGTCGTTTCAACGACGTTTATTTAAGGGCGAGCCTTTAATATTTCAAAGCATTGCAGCATTGATCGTCGACTTAGGCGTTGCTTGTCTTCCGGTGAACTAGTCCGTGGTTTCCGCAAAGCATAGAAACGAGTTGACCACGGGGTGTCGTCGTTGCTTGCATTTAGTGCACGTGGCCGTAGGCGTTGAAGTAGACGGAAAAAAAAAAAAAAAAAAATAAGAGGAGGAAGAAAGTGGAACTAGAGACGCCTTGAAAGAGCGACCACGGGATGGTACGATCTAGGAAGATGCTTCCTTGTCGCCTTGGGACATTTCTTACATCTTCCTTTTCCTCTTCTCGCTTCTTTCGAGGCGGAAATTTTAAACGGTATGTCGGATGTAAACGGATGTTCAGTTTATAAGTGAAATATTATCGATAAAATTTTTATTTGTGTGGGTGTGTGTTTTTTTTTCATTTCATCAACTACTTGAAAGATTGCCTGTAAAATTGAGCAAATTTAAAAATATCCAAGATAAAAATTAATAAAATATTTAACCTATAATTTAAGCGTGTAGTAATTGAAATTATTATAAAAATGAAAATAAGAAATAATATCAATAGGGTTTACTTATTCGATTCATATTTGTTATTTCTATTCATTTCTTTTTATTTCTTACTTTTTTATGGAATTAAAAAATAGATTTTATTAAATTTTGTGTATCTGATATATGTTACACGCCAATTTTAAGGAAAGAATTTACTCCTATTTTTAAAAATACATAAATTTATAGTTACTACAATAACTAGAAGGATTTAAGTAGAAAGCAATAAATTAAAATAAAAAAATAAAATTCCTTACGAGTCGCTCAAACTTATAATTTAACCAATCAAATTTAATAACTTACTCTTCATCTTCATCTTCTCATCTCATCATCCAAAATCTTTTCAAAAGAAACTATAAAACCCAAGACTTTCCTATTTTCCTTCACCTTCTTCATAAAATAAAATCACCCTCGTAAAAAAAACACAAGTCTCAAGATCGCGAATCAAGAGAGGAAAAAAAAAGCACCTTGAAAAAAGCACTCAAAATTACCCAACCAATCTTAAATTAAACACCGATAAAATTTCCAAATACATAGAAAACTCATTTACATTTACCTTGTTTCGATCCCGCTATTCACGAATTTCATGACACCGGCACGAATCGTACATACAAGGCGGTTCTTGGAACAATAGCCGCCTATCTCGCGTTATTAAGAACGCCTCGATGAATCCGGAGGTTCGAATAGTCGGCGTGAACTAGGCGGAAAGTTCGATACAATCACCGTTGCTCGGTGATGCGGTCAACTTGCCGCTTTGAACAAAGACATTTCCCGGCCGAAACTTAACTTTGAGAAGTCTTGGGACGAGGGTGGTAAACCGTGATTAGCGGCGGGGGTAGCGCGAACCTTCGAGATGCGAGCACATATACACACACACATATCTGGTCAGAAGTTGGCTCGAGAGTTTTGGAAAACGATGTCTCGAGCAGAGAGATCGAGAAACCTCTTTTCGAGACCGTTGTGAAAGTTTTTCTTCGAATTTGTTCTCTCTTGTCTTACACTATTGATTCTTTTGCTTTTCTCTCGCGAAGAAGAGAAAGAAAGGTGGATGATAGAAAGAGAATTTACTTTTGAAAGTTTGTCTTCTTCTATTATGAGAATTTTTTAATGTGGAATTGTTTAATTGTTGTGAAGAGGAAAGATTCTTTTCGAATCTTTATTGTGAAACTTTTTGAGATTTTTTTTTTTTTTTTATTATTTTGTGGATATCGTGTTCAACGTTGAAAAATAATCATCGAGTATCAGTGTGTTTCTGAGATTATTTCTGGATACACAAGAAACGGTAAATTTTAGGAAAATCCAAGAAGAACTTTAATAATCTCGTTTGAAACTTTATGGATCTTTAGCTTGAGATCCTGCAAGATTTATGATGTTCTTAAGTATCTAAATTTTTGTCATAATTTTATAAGACTTATACTTATTAGATTATATTATAGATTTATATCGGAATATTAAGAATTTTCCATTGTTAACTTTCCGTTCGAATTTATGGGGAAAAAAATTTATTTCAATAAAAAGTGTGAATGAGATTAACGTTATCGAATCGTTTTCCAAGAAACAAGCAACGGAAGAAAAAAGTTGTTTTAAAGAAAATATTATTTAAAGAAGGGATCTTTCCCAGGAAAATGATCGTTCGTGTAAAAAAGAGCCAGCTTTCGAGAAAGCCAAGGAAACTTTTAATCACTTTAGAATGCTCTTTAATTTAACGCTTCCCCCACTACCCCCTCCCCCAAGATCCAAACTTTTTTCCCGGAATCACGAAAATTACATTACAGCATAAATCTCCAACTCCGACCAACTTTTCAAATCAAATTTTCCAATCTCTTTGTTCTTCCGTTCATTTCGTTTCTTTTTCGCGAAATTCAATTCTTTATATATATATACATAAATCAAGAAATTGATCGTAATTGAAAAAAAAAAAGAATCGAAATTTGATCCGTTGATTTTTAAAAAAAATATATACGAGATTTAAAGTTTCATACATATATACGTATAAACGAAAAGAAAAATGGCGAATGAGTACTCACAGATGACGGTGAGATGAGCGTTGGCACGGATCGATTTAATGCGCAAATATGGTCCAACTTGGCACTGATATTCCCCATCGTCGGTCAAAGAAGCCTGTGTGATCTGAAGATTGTAAACTCCTGTGCTCTGATCGCCTATTAATCTCAATCGCGGATGCCCCACGATTTCTCCATCTGTAAAATTAAACGTTATTAATTTATTCGCAAATTTTAAATCTTTAAGAATGATAAAATGGTTTTCTAATTATATTCAAATTCGACGAGAGTTATTATAAATATTTAAGCTTTTTTGACTTTTGATTTTCGATTGATGAAGTTAATAATATAATTATATTTCAAATTTTATATAATTCTTGAAATATTTTCTTTAATAAGAATATGTCGCGAATTTACCTTTATTTTAATCGAAATCCATGTCATTTCGTTTAAAGAAAAATGTTGAAGGTCCAAATCGAAAAAAAGAGAGAAAAATAATCACGAGCTTTCTCTTCTTTTATAGTGAAATGTTGTTATATACAGTTTTAACTATAATATAACTGAAGAACAGTATTACCGTAGCTTAAATATTTTTCACAAAGATTTTTCATTATTATTATAACTTTAAAACTAATTATTTTTAAATCCTTGATCTCGCCTCGATTCATGTATAAAGGCAATTATGAAAAAAAAAAAAAAAAGATTATTAAAATGCTTTCAGACTCTTTTCTTCTTTCCGCGAAAAACTTCCTTTATTTAAAATTTTTTAAACCAATTTTATTCTGCATTAAAAAAAAAGCATTAAACATTATACACTATAAATAATTTTCTATTCTTATCTTTTAATCATATTGATAAATATTTCTTCTTTCTTTAATTAATTAAAAAAAAAATTTTAAAACTAAAATAAAGAAACCATAAATACAGTAATATCTTTTATAAAAATTTAATTTTTCAATAATCTCTTCTTCAAGTTTCTCGACTGTATCCGATATATTCTTGAAGCATAACAATGGTTATTGTACAAACGTCCATAAGAGCAAAGCCAGAAAAAAAAAAAAAAAGAAAAATGCCAACCAGAGAGATTGTGTCGTAACTCAAAAAAAAAAAAAAAAAAAGAATACATCGTAAACTAAACGAGGATGTCATTTCTGTATAAAGGTTTGAAGACACACGATGCCCGTGGAAACTACTGGAACGTACTACGTACTTGGGTTTTGATAAAAGCGATGATATATGCAAAATCGATAGAATGCCACGGGTTCATGGCAGCCATTACCTTCTGTCAACCTTGCCTTTCTCGTCAAAAATTTACCTTGCCACGGGCAAGATGTTTGACAATCTCTATTCCGCGAGTTCCTCCCTATTTCTAACGAATCATCGTGAAACAGAAAATTCTCTGTTCGCGAAAAAATCGACTCTTTTTTGTAACCGAAAAATTGAAAAGATTTTATTTTTTTAGAAATACCCTTCGATGGATATTCATGGCAATAAAGACAGAAAATGTTAAAAGCTAAATAATAATATTATATAATAAATTTTACGAAAATATCGATAAAATATCTCTTGAACGTGATTCGAAAATTGTAAATAAGATCGTTAATGATTTTGCACATCAGAAATATCATTCGTGAAACAATGCAGATTTTATGTAGAAAAGCAAAATAATGGACGTGTCATTAAAACACAGCAAGCAAGCATCGAACCACGTCCACGACTTATACTCCCCTAAAGAAAGAAAGAGAAAGAAAAGAAAAAAAAAAGAATATGCGCATGAAAAATGGACGATTTACTATCAGACACATTTTATAACCAACGCGACCAGAAGCTGCATCTTACTATAATTTTTCGCGCGTTCGATGTTTTAAAAATTGTTTCGAGCAAAAATTACTTGGAGCGATACTGACTTTTTCTTTTTCCAAAACAGTTAAGTCACGTTTTTACTCGATATTAATGTTTCCTCTTTCTCGTCCAATTTACGATAAAATTTCTTTCATGTTTTAGAAATTTAATAGTAATAAAAAAAAAAAAAAAAAAAGAAGAAGAAGAAAGAAACGTCGAAGCAAATATGTTAATATATACTTCTAACGAATTTAATCGGAGCAAAGTTGACGTAACATTCGTTTCCTACGTTTTTCCTGCAATTTCCCTCTATTTTTGTTTTAATATCGTTAGCGCAATGTATCTTCCTTTTTCCCTTGTACGATTTATCTTCCTCAATAAATCTCCAAACAGAATCTCCGCAATATTTCAAATAACATATTTATAAATACATACATATTTGGATACAATATTCCATTTAACCTTTTAGAACATTTTACAATTTTTATAATTTTTATTAATCGTGCTTCAACTTTGTATCGAATACTTTCGATCCCTAAAATAATTTTCAAAATCGACGCACGCGATACCTTTCAAAATATCATATATAACATTCCTTTTTTAGATTAAACTTTAGATTAATTAATTAAACCTTCCTCTTCCCCCCCTCAAAAAAATTGCAAAATTTACATTACAACATTTTCCAAAATATCATTACCCCATTTTTAACTCCGTCTCAACTCAACCGTCATTTTCACCGCCAAGCAATTCTCCTAATGACTGTTTCGAGCTTTGTTCATCCCCCTCTCCCCCTGATCCACGTGCACACGTGCAGTTTCGAAAATTTAGGGCACACGTTGACGAGCGTGTTGAGGGAAGAAAAGGGTGGCTAATAAAGGGTTTCGATAGTCGAGCCTCTAATTACCACTCTTTTCCACGTGTGCGAGAGGATTATGCCGAGAGAATCAAATAATATGGTGACACTGACGCGGAGGATGAAGGCTTTTGTTGACGACATTTTTCGAGAGAGAGAGAAAAGACAAAAAGACATCGGTACACGTTTAGAGATTAACTTGTTCCATTCTCCACTCCCCAGAGAGAGAAAAAGAGAGAGAGAGAGAGAGAAAGAGAGAGAGAGGGGGAGAGGAAAAATGACAGAACGTGCAAGAGACATTAAGATAGTTCTGCTCCATTTACGTCGTGGTTACTAATGGCCTGTTTTAATGAACGAGCGAGATGAAGTTACCTCGAAACGAAGTTTCAAAAGATTCTACTACGACGTAGACGCGGGTGGGTTTTCTTACCCCCTCGGCGTCCAATCTCCACTTTTACTTTATCTTCCGTAACTGAAGAGAAAGTTGATAATTGCGCGAAATCGAGACGAACGTTAATAGAGGAGATTGTTAGATTCATGTAGATTGACGTGGTAATTAAAAAACGACAACTGGTTTCGGTCATCTGGGGTTTCAAGGGGGTGGCTCGTTTGTTTATTCGAAAGAAGTTTCGTTTCTGGGATTATTATTTGCTTCGAATGTGAATTTTTTTCTACGTATCTCTATCTTTATCAAGTGACAAGTGACTCGTCGATTAATTTTATTTTTTATTTGTGTCAAATATAGAAGAAGAGAGAGAAATTTTGATTTGGAGAGTTTTTTGGATTTTTATGGATGAATATATTTAATTTTAAAAGAGTCGGATTCAATGGTTTAAATGGTGAGAGAGGGATGGATAGAACAGAGGATCGATTTACTTACTCGATTGTATGACATAGGCGAAGCCATCTTTCACCCACTGCACGATCCCAACTCTGTTTCCAACTTCGCAAGATATTGTTACGTCACGGCCTTCCTGGACAGAGCTGTTTCTCGGCCTCACGCGAAAATATTGTCCCCCTTCGCCTGGAAAATAAATAATATAAACGTTAATATAATTCTCTTTTTGTACAAGTGAGATCGAAATATAGAATTATCGATTTCGTTATCTATTTTATAATCTCTTTTATTATTTTTTGACGGGACAAAAATTTACGAAAATTAATTCGAAATATTTATCGTTATATTTTATTTATATTTGGTAATTTTTGCGCGAATTAATTAATACGATATATTTTAAAGATAAATTCTCCGTTTCGAAAATAATACGAAACAATTAGAAAGCAAGTATAATCTCATTGCACATTTACTTTTATTTCATTTCACCATATTAAATAATTTTTTTTTAATTTCATTCCATATTCCGTATCTCACGTTTATTATCCCCCCTCTCCTCCCGATTTTATTTAAAGTGAAATAAAATTTCAACAAAATTTGGAAAATAACGCCAACCAATTAAAAAAGAAAATGTAATCTCATTGTACATTTACTTTTACCTCTTTTTACCATGTAAAACACAACATTTTTTCAATTTTTTTATTTCATCGTTTTATTTTGAAATTGATAAAATAAAACGATGTATTAACTTACAAAACGAAATATTAACTTACAACATTTGCTGAATGTTCGATAAAAAAAAAAAAAAAAAAAAAAAAGAAAAAAAAAGAGTAAGAATATACACAGACTAAATACCGAGATTACATCGATAAATTTTCCACAACGAATTGTTCTAAAACGATCCACACATGTGTGTTACATAGTCTAACAAAGTGTTTTAAACATAGAAATCTGTGGCCGAGTTGGAAACTGCAAGTTTGGTTAATTTATAAGATTACACAACGCTCGTAAAAGTGCCTGTTCACGGGAGATTTGAAACAAAGTCGGAGAGGAAAAGAATATTCTCCTATTCTATGGCGGAAATTATTCGCGGACGTAGCGCTACCACTTCCGTGAAAAGAATGGAAACCAGAAAAGCTTCGGCAAACATCGCGTCGTTGAATCGTCGAGAAATGTTTCTCTTTTGACTCGAACAAAGATGAAATTTCTTTAAAAAAGAGAGAGAAAAAAAAAAAAAGANAGAGAAAAAAAAAAAAAAAGAAGAAAAGAGAATATCCTCGCAATTGATCTTTTGAATCTTCCTTAATTACCGAATCACTCGTTCGAATTTTAATTTACAACGAAAATTTTGAATTTTGTAAAATTTTTGGAATTCTCACTCAAGAGACTTATTTCGCAAAGAATTGAAATTAATTTAAAACTTAACTTTCGATCAATTATTTTCCCACACTAAATCTTATATCCGCTAAATTTTCGTTAAAAAAAAAAAAAAAAAAAAAAAAAAAAAAAAAAAAAAAAAAAAAAANTCAACTCATGTTACCTTCGTCAAACGCTCAAAAAATCGACTCTTTTCTCAAAAATCTACTCTTCTCTCCTATATATCACATCCTTCGTTCAAACATCCCCTTAAAAATCCGCCATTTTTCGCATACCAACCAACAATAATCCACCGTGAACCGAGGCCACCGTGCGACGACAGCCACAGGTTATCGATAACAGAATAATATGGAACGATCTGGATGAAGAGAAAAGACAGGAATATATATATATCTCGATGGAAGATCGACGTAATCTGGTTGTCGGCCGCGACCAGGATCGATGCTTGGTCGGTTTTCCTCGACAGGGGTGGGCCACCGATGGTCTGTGTACCTGCGGCCTGGTTACACGTTTGCCTTTGTACACGATGGTCACTTGCTGCTCGAATTTGCGTGCAACGGCGCCGATGAAATATACAGCCCTCCTCCCCCCTCTAAACGCATGGCGTTTCTCTCCAACCTCCCTTCCTCTTCCGATAACAGGATAAATTTCACGCATCCCTGCACGCAAATGGACAGGAGCCCAGGCAAAGAAGAATTTCACCGATCTGCTGCTGTTCTACCCGATCTATTCTTCGATTCTTCGTTTCGTTGATTGGATATTGGATGTATGTGGAATCACTTTATCTTCTTTCGGTTATTTTACGCGAATAATTAATTTTTTTATTTCTTGAATTATAAATTTTTGTTTTCTCGTCGCTTGCGATTTGTAGATCGATCATTCGACAAAGATGGATCGTACGAAGAGTTTGTGATGTGTAAGAACGTACGAGGAAAGTTGGAAGGATTAAAGCTTTCTCTTTATTAAGAAATTACCATGCGACAACGCACTGGTTACACGTTTGCCTCGATAAAATTTTGATTTTAATTCATCAGGTTTCGCCAATGTTCCATTCGAGATGGGTGCAAAATTTGTATTGTATCGATCGATTAAAATTCATAAGTAATGGAAAAGTATGATAAATCGTTTTTATAGGAGCTTTAGGAATATGTAATAAAATGGAATAAAGTCAAAGGGGTGGAAATTTCGGATCTTGCGCCTTTACAGTATGATGAAATTTTCATCCGTTCGATAATAATTCTCTTTTTCCTCCTCCTTTTCTTTTCTTTTTCCTCCCCCAACCCACTCCCTCCCTTCCCTCAGAAATATCCCATTGCGATGGAAATCGGTTTTTTAAAAGGGGTAACCGTGAAAGGACGTCTCGAAAAAAAGCTATAGCGGAATAACTTTCAACACAGGAATTTTTTCCACATTCCAATTTAGAGATCATACTTTACGCGTGAAATAAAAAAAAAAAAAAAAAAGAAAAAGAAAGAAATAAAAGGAATAAAAAAAAGTAAAACAAAGGTATTTGAAATGCTCCACCATTTATAAAAAAAAAAAAAAAAAATGTTCAAAAATAGATATTTCAGAATCGAAAGAATTTTTTCGAATTCCATCAGATACACCGTTGAAAATTTACCCCTCCCTCAACAAATGTTTATTCGAAATATTTTTCAAACTGAATTATGCACAAAAGATGCCCGTATAGAAATTCGATAATTCCATGAAGCAAACATATTTCGTCGTAACGGAAACTGTGTCAAAGAATGAATAATAATCGTTCCCTGTTTATTCAAAACTCGCTAATATGTTGATAAATATTACACTAGCCCCTCCCCTCCCCTCCCCTTCCCAAATCTCGTTCGAGAGAACTTCGTTGTATTCAATACAGCTAGCTAAGTGAAACAAAATTTTCATTTGAAAAATGACGAATGTACGCAGGCGATGTCGTCATTTCTGTGCCGTGGTGGTACATTGAAGTGCTTTTTGCGAGAAAAGTTGAAAAATCCCCTATAAATGCGAAAAAAACTCGTGGCAACGATCGAAATTGCCCGGGGGCCAGAAGCGTTAAGGTTTGATTTAACGACTCAACTAAAATAGAGATGACTATTTCCCACTAGCTACTGGCAAATTCGACAGATTTCATCGTTATTCTGTCCATCAAAAATCCATGAATATCGCGTCGTGGACTATTCGTGAATTATTATTTTTTTTTTTTTTATTAAACATTCAAATGCGTTTCAGTTAACTTTCGCGTGTTTTGTAATTGAATATAAATTACGAGAAAATTAGAGATAGACAGAATTATATTAATGCATCATCTGTGTTTGAATGGATATACACGAGAAGTATACAGTTCATCAAAACTTCGTGATTTGATTAGGTGTAATTTTTCTGTGTAAAATTGAAAAAAATTATACAAAATTTAATTAAAAATATCGTGGAAGAGTTATATATACTCTCATAAAATTAATCATATAGATACATAAAAAAAGATCAATTTATTATTTAACACATTAAAACTTACAAAAATATTTAACTTTAGAAATGTATGAATTTACGAAACAACAAGATTCTTTCCAAAATGATCTCAAGAAATAACTCACCTCCCCATTGATCTTAATTTTTAATATCGAATAAAATTTCCCTAGTATATATCATATTTCCATCTAAAACTTTCAAGAATAATGGACACTCGTTAATTCACTCGTCAAAATGCCATCACAGATCACGTATGTGATAAAAAAAAAAAGAAGAGACGAATAATAAAATTTATATATATATATATACACATATAAATATAGACGACGAAAACCAATGATATAGCATAATTCATCGGAGGGAAACTGGCATGGACGACCGCACGGATATTTATTTCTCTCATCCTTTAATCACAGCTCTAGATTAAACTCTTTGACAGACTTATCGCCGCGTATCACGAAATTTCCCTACGAATCGTCAATCTCTCTCCTCGCCCTAACGAAACGAAACGAGAGTCGTGCGGATTTTCACCTTCCTCTCCATTTCCACTTGTTTTCGTTCCACCAGTGAACGGTTACGTGAGAGGAATTGGGCTCTTTTTCCCTCCACTGTTTGCCCTTCTTCGTTCTTTTCTTCCCTTCTTTCTCGTTTCCCTTCGCTCTCGTTCAAGAGCGGGATTAATTTAAAAATAAAGCGAGCTAATCGATCCTCTCGTACGTGGAGGGGAGGGAGGGGGGATTCATCTAACGACTCGTTTCGAATGAAAGTTGTGTTCGAATTGTAAGAATTTCTTCTAATTCAGCCTTCACGTTTGTGAAAAAAATTGGATTCATTAAAGTAACCCACTCGAAGGGATTTATATATCTCGATCGCGAAGAGCGATGGTTTATCTCTCAACTCGAGAATTTTCCTTTCCAATCATTCGTCTCTCAAAAACTTTCACTTTTGCTTCCGTCATTAATCCAACAGATTAAATCCTCGACGATCGACAGAACGTCTCGAACGATGGATTCAATTCTCGCGTATAAAAGTCCAACGAAAGCAAAAGAAACAAAAACAAATTCGCACGCAGTTCCACAATTTCGACGTGCAAACTCATCTCGTAGCTGTGAAAATCGAATGGGAAAAAGTCCCTTTCTCGATTCGAGCTCGATACTCTCGACTTCTCGAGGAGAAATCGCACGGGGATGGTGATGGTTCAACGTCCGCCCCCGTGGATCGTCCCATTTTTCACCCCCATGCTTCGATGCCGATACCGTAGATAAACCGCCACTTTATGCCGCTGTTTGTCGGCCTTTTCCTGTTAAGCGACCACCCTCGATTGTCCTTTTCCGCCCTGGGACCAGAGG